AAAAAGAAATATCTTCAGCATGCGGACGCAGGGAGTCGAACCCCGACAGTCTTCAACATTTGTTCTAAACAGAAACATGAGATAAAGCAGTGCACCATGCACCACGTCCGCTTCCTACCCTCTGTTACTGAAGTGGCCAACTACAGTAGTATGGTTTTATTTTATTGGATTGTGAGCAAAAAAAAAAAAGAGCCGAGTCCAACTCTTACTGGATGTAATAAAGTCGTGCTTTGAAAAGCTGAAAGAAAAAAGAAAAAACACTAGCAACATCGATCAACATGCAGACGCGGGGAATCGAACCCCGACAGCCTTCAACACTATGTCGAGATAGTGACATGAAATGAAGGAGTGCACCATGCACCACATCCGCTTTCTATCCTTGGTTACTGAAGTGGCTAACTACAGTAGGATTTTATCGGTGTTGTGAGCTAACTAGTATGGTTTTATAATTTTATTGGATTGTGAGCAAAAAAAAGGGCCCACAATTCCAATGGAGGATAATCGAAGTGAGTGGTGCTTCTGAAAAGAGCTGGAAGAAAAAATGGAAATACTCCGTACAACATGCGGACGCGGGGAGTCGAGCTCCGAAGCCTTCAACAGCACTTTACGGTCCAGATATGAAATGAAGGAGTGCGCCGTGCACCATGTCCGCTTCCTACCCTCTGTTACTGAAGCTGCTAACTACATTTTATTTTATTAGATTGTAAGCAAAAAAAATTGAAAGCATCATACCCAATGTGTATGCGGACGCGGGGGAGTCGAACCCCGACAACCTTTAACATTTCTTCGGGATAGCCTTATGAAAGAAAGGAGTGCACCGTGCACCACGTCCACTTCCTACCCTCTGTTACTGAGTGCTCAAGCTGCTAACTAGTAGTATGTATTTTATTGGTGTTGTGTGCTAACTAGTGTGGTTTTATAATTTTATTGCAGTAGATTGTGAGCGAAAAAAGAGCCCACGGCTGAGATCGGAGTCCAACTCCGATTGGATATAATCGAGGGATAATTGATAAACGAGAGAAAAAACCAAAAAGAATATCGAAAATCATACGCATGCGGACGCGGGGAGTCGAACCCCGACAGCCTTTAACATTTCTTTGTACTCGCCTCATGAAATAAAGGAGTGCACCGTGCACCGCATCCGCTTCCTACCTTCTGTTACTGAAGTGGCTAACTAGTATGTATGCTTTTATAATTTTGTAGAGTGTCAGCGACTGTGAACAAAAAAAAAGAGCGAGTCCAACTGTTACTGGCGGAGATAGTTGAGTTGTGCTTTAAAACTTATGAAGGAAAATGAAAAATGAAAAATGATAACATATCTGCAACATGCGGACGCGGGGAGTCGAACCCGACAGCCTTCAACACTTCCTTGTGGCATCCCCATGAAATAAAGCAGTGCACCGTGCACCACGTCCGCTTCCTCCCTCTGTTACTTGAGCTACTAACTACTGTAGTATGGTTTTATAATTTTATTAGATCAGATTGGGAGCAAAGCAGGAGAGCCTGTGTCTCGCATCGGAGTTCAACTCCGACCGACTGGATATAATTGGGGGATAATTGGGATAAATGAGTTGTGGTCGTGCTTCAAAACTTATGACGGAAAAAGAAAAACACAAACATGGATTCAGCATGCAGACGAGGGGAGTCGAACCCCGACAGCCTTCAACACTTTGGGGATAGCCACATGAAATAAAGCAGTGCACCATGCACCACGTCCGCTTCCTTCCTCTGTTAGTCAAGCTACGAACTAGGATTTTATCGGTGTTGTGTGCTAACTAGTATGATTTTTATTGTGGTAGATTGTGAGCAAAAAAATGGCCCACAGCGGAGTCCAATTCTTACTGGACGTAATTGGGAGCGTAATCGAGTCGTGCTTCGAAAACAGTTGGAGTCGTGCTTTGAAAGAGTTCAAATAAAAATGAAATAAAAAACGCTGCCATGAGCATGCAGACGCAGGGAGTCGAACCCCGACAGCCTTCAACATTTTTGGATCAGCCTCCTACGAGTAATGAAATAAGGAAGTGCACCGTGCACTACATCCGCTTCCTACCCTCTGTTACTCGAGCTGCTAACTACAGTAGTATGTTTAATTTTATTAGACTGTGAGCAGAAAAAAGAGCCCACACCACAATTCCTTCGGGGGATAATTGAGTGCTTCGAAAACAGCTGAAATAAAAATGAAATAAAAATGAAAAATGAAAAATGAAAAATGAAAATGAAAAAGAACACTTCCATCAACCTGCGGACATGGGGAATCGAACCCCGACCAGCTGCTTTAACACTTTTCTGGAATAGTGACATGAAACATGAAATAAAGCAGTGCACCGTGCACCACGTCTGCTTCCTACCCCCTGTTACTTAAGCTGCTAACTAACCAGTACGATTTTATAATTTTCTTAGGTTGTGAGCAAAAAATAGCCCACGGCGGAGTCCAATGGGGGTAATTGAGCCGTGCTTCGAAAACAGCTGAAAAAAATGAAAAATTCCAACGATCAACACCCGGACAAGGGGAGTCGAACCCCGACAGCCTTCGACACTGGTCTTCAGCAACATGAGATAAAGCAGTGCGCCGTGCACCACGTCCGCTTCCTACCCTCCGTTACTGAGTACTCAAGCTGCTAACTAGGATTTTATTCTTACCGGTGTTGTTTGCTAACTGCTATGGTTTCATAACTTTATTACGATAGATTGTGAGCAAAAAACAGAACAGAGTCCAACTCTTACTGGGGGAGATAATCGAGTCATGCTTCGAAAAGAGCTGAAATCTTAGGAAAGAAAAATGAAGATAATCCAGCTACATGCGGACGCGGGGAATCGAACAACACTTTTTTTGGATAGCTACATGAAATAAAGCAGTGCACCATGCACTGCGTCCGATTCCTATCCTCTGTTACTCAAGCTGCTAACTAGCATTTCATCGCTGTTCGGAAGTGAAAACTTGAAGGGACAGATGCATGTATCCCTTCAGCTGCTTTTCTTTCCTTGCTGAGGGATTGGTGGGTGCTATCACTCGGAGTTCTTACTGTATACTAGTACCAGCATAGATTCAGATCAGTCAGGTACTTTGAACTTTTTTGCTGTGTGCAATTGAAAAACCGCAAAAGAAACAATTTGTGGGGCATCCCGGACAGCGAAAATTCCCACGGTTGTAATACCACAGACATCCCGATCCCCGAGAGCTGATTGGTAAGTAAGCGCTCAGCTTGGTCATGCCAAATATTCCTTGGTTAGTAATCTTGGTAATGCCAAATACGAGCCAAGGTTCTACCTTGGTCTACTACCGTTTAAAAGCATACATGCCAGCACTAAGGGAACATCAAGCATCTTGCATAATTCTGGACCATGGGCCGCTCTCTAAACCTCACAGCTTGTCTCATTATCGCCACTGCGTTATCAACGACTTTAGCTGCAACCGCGGCGGGCAGCTTCGATTTGAAGCCTTTCAAGATCGACCTCGCCGGTGAAATTCCTCGCTTAAAGTCCCTTGTGAAGAACACCCGTCTTCCGGCCAAAGTACTGTATCCGGATGCCAGTCCCGAAAAAGGAATCGGATTGGACGTCCTCCAGGAACTCCGAGCTGATTGGTTGACAAAGTTTGACTGGGAAGCACAGCAAGCAGAATTGAACCAGTCAGTGTTGTTGACATTTTCTTGAAATACATCGCATCTCATACACTTGATGCACAGAGTCAACCAGTTCACTACGGTCATCGAAGGACAGACAGTGCATTTCGTGCACGAAAAGTCCAAGGACCCAGATGCCATTCCTGTGATCTTGCTCCACGGATGGCCAGGTGATCTCGCGTCGCAAAGTTCGAGGTGAAATCAAGCTAATCAGATATATCGCGCAGGCTCTTTCCATGAATTTCTTCCGGTGATCATACCCTTGACCCAGTCGTGGAAGAGCGCTACTGGGAAAAGTGTAGCCTACAACGTCGTGGTCCCGTCCCTCCCAGGCTTCCTCTTTTCCTCTCCGCCACCGGCCAATTGGACCGTCGATGATACCGCCAGAATATTCAATACACTCATGACTGACGTTCTTGGATACTCGACCTACGCGGTACATGGTACCGATTGGGTATGTCCACTGCTCGGAGGAAATTCCATCATGATACCCATATGTTCTTGCACAGGGTTCTGCGGTGGCCTACTCCCTGTACGGCTCTTTCAACACGACTGTACGCGCAGCGCACCTCGTGTTCCTTCCCTTCTTCCCTCCGTCAGCCCAAGACATAGCCGAAAACAATATCACCTTGTCGGACAGTCAGAAAGTGACTGAACAGCGGAATATTGAATGGAACACCACCGGCAATGGTTATTTCCTCGAGCAGAGCACGAAGGTGCGTCCCCTGGTTGACCCTGACTAAATTAAATTACAGTTTCTACAGCCTAATGACATCGGATTGGCCTTGTACGACAGTCCAGTCGGGCAACTTGCGTGGATCGGCGCCAAACTCAAGCTTTGTGTGTATACATATATTGTTTATCTCTCAACTTTGTCACTAAAGTATGATGTATTATACCCAGGGTCCGACCCTCGCGCAGGAACCCCGCCATCCGTACTAAACAACACGACGATCCTGACTTCCGTCTCTCTCTACTACTTGACCGAGTCTTTCCTATCCTCGGTCTGGATATACGCCCAGAATACGAACGGGTTTAAGACCGTGTATACGAAGGCCCCCACAGACGCGCCGCTGCTGTTCAGTCAGTACGAGTACAACATCGCCCTCTGGCCCGAAGAGTATGCCGCAAAGGTCGGTAATCTCGTATCGTATAAAGGTGTGTGTCTCTAGCTCCCTGGCGCTGTTCTGGGAACTGATGATATTCTGAGTTCACGACTTTGGAGGGCACTTCGCCGGTCTGGATAATCCCCCCGCACTTGTTGAAGATATTCGCTCAATGGGACTCTACTTCAAGGCGTGATGGAAGGACTTGGATTAACCAGCGCATGCTGGATTGATTTACCAATTATACTCAATTAGAGATCCCGGATTAATGTGGTTCAAATGATATGAGTAGACAACGAAAGCTCCTTTCTCCGCCATCGACAAGATGCGCCTCGGGCCGTAGAGGTTGAGTAGGAGAAATCAAATGAAGGAAGAGTGTTTTGAGTATTAGTACGAAGATGGGTAGAATCAAGGGAGTACAGTGAGTTTCGGAATGGCGATCCGAGGATGTGCGTTAGTCCTTGTACAAATTTGGTTCCGACTTTCCGGACGCCGATCTGAAGTAGTGACCATTGGCAAGGGGAGGCAGAAATACGTACACCTAGCTAGACATACAATATCTAGTTACCACGTCAGAACATCTTCTGCGGACTAATCATTCCCGTCATCTCGGTCTCGCTGTCATCTTCAAAATTCAGATC